AACTACAGAAAACCTGCAATCTCATGGAAACTGAATAATACCCAACTGAATCACAAATGGGTTAAGGAAGAAATAAAGAAAGAAATTAAAGACTTCCTAGAGATCAATGAAAATGAAGACACCACATATCCAAATTTATGGGACACTATGAAAGCAGTACTAAGAGGGAAATTCATAGCACTAAATGCCCACATAAATAAGTTGGAGAAATCTCACACTAGAGACTTAACAGCATACCTGAAAGCTCTAGAACAAGAAGAAGCACAGTCTCCCAGGAAAAATAGACGCCAGGAAATTATCAAAGTGAGAGCTGAAATCAATAAAATAGAAACAAAGAGAACAATACAAAAAATTAATGAAACAAAGAGTTGGTTCTTTGAGAAAATCAACAAGATAGACAAGCCCTTATCCAAACTAACCAAAAGACAGAGAGAGAGCATCCAAATCAACAAAATCAGAAATGAAAAGGGGGACATAACAACAGACATTGAGGAAATCCAGAGAATCATCAGGTCATACTTCAAAAACCTCTATTCGACAAAACTGGAAAACCTAAAAGAAATGGATAACTTTCTGGATAGGTACCACATACCTAAGTTAAATCAAGACCAGATAAACTATTTAAATAGTCCAATAACCCCTAACGAAATAGAAACAGTCATTAAAAGTCTCCCAACCAAAAAAAGCCCAGGACCAGATGGTTTCAGCGCAGAATTCTACCAGATCTTCAAAGAAGAGTTAATACCAATACTCTCTAAATTGTTCCACACAATAGAAACAGAAGGAACATTACCAAACTCCTTCTACGAGGCTACAATTACCCTAATTCCTAAACCAAACAAGGATACAACAAAGAAAGAGAACTACAGACCGATCTCCCTCATGAACATTGATGCAAAAATACTCAATAAAATACTGGCAAACAGACTCCAAGAACACATCAAAACAATTATCCACCATGATCAAGTAGGATTCATTCCAGGGATGCAAGGGTGGTTCAACATACGAAAGTCCGTCAATATAATACACCATATAAACAAACTCAAAGAAAAAAACCATATGATCATCTCACTGGATGCAGAAAAGGCATTTGACAAAATCCAACACCCCTTCATGATAAAGGTATTAGAGCGATCAGGAATACAGGGAACATACCTAAACATAATAAAGGCAATTTACAGCAAGCCAACAGCCAACATCAAATTAAATGGAGAGAAACTCAAAGCAATTCCACTAAAATCAGGAACGAGGCAAGGCTGTCCACTCTCCCCATACTTATTCAATATAGTACTTGAAGTTCTAGCCAGAGCAATAAGACAACATAAGGAGATTAAGGGGATACAAATTGGAAAGGAAGAAGTCAAGCTTTCCCTATTTGCAGATGACATGATAGTATGCTTGAGCGACCCCAAAGATTCCACCAAGGAACTGATACAGCTTATAAACACCTTCAGCAACATAGCAGGATACAAGATCAACTCAAAAAAATCAGTAGCCCTCCTATATACGATGGACAAAGAAGTGGAGAAGGAAATCAGAGATACATCACCCTTTACTATAGCCACAAATGACATAAAATACCTTGGGGTAACACTAACCAAGCAAGTGAAGGACCTATATGACAAGAACTTTAAGTCCCTGAAAAAAGAAATTGAAGAAGATGTCAGAAAATGGAAAGATCTCCCATGCTCATGGATAGGCAGGACTAACATAGTAAAAATGGCAATCTTACCAAAAGCAATCTACAGATTCAATGCAATCCCCATCAAAATACCAACACAATTCTTCACAGACCTGGAAAGAATAATACTCAAATTCATATGGAAAAACAAAAAACCCAGGATAGCCAAAGGAATCCTGTACAATAACACAACTTCTGGAGGCATCACGATCCCTGACTTCAAGCTCTACTATAGAGCTACAGTAATAAAAACAGCTTGGTACTGGCATAGAAACCGACATGTGGACCAATGGAATCGAATTGAAGACCTTGACATTAATCCGCACACCTATGAACATATAATTTTTGACAAAGAAGCCAAAAGTGCACAGTGGAAAAAAGAAAGCATCTTCAACAAATGGTGCTGGCAAAACTGGATATCAACATGTAGAAGGCTGCAAATAGATCCATATCTATCACCGTGCACAAAACTTAAGTCCAAGTGGATCAAGGACCTCAACATAAATCCAGCTACTCTGAACCTGCTAGAAGAGAAAGTAGGAAGTAGTCTTGAACGCATTGGCATTGGAGACTACTTCCTAAATAGAACACCAGTAGCACAGACTCTGAGAGAAACAATCAATCAATGGGACCTTTTGAAACTGAGAAGCTTTTGTAGAGCAAAGGATATGGTCAACAAGGCAAAGCGACAGCCTACAGAATGGGAAAAGATCTTCACCAACCCCACATCTGACAGAGGACTGATATCCAGAATATATAAGGAACTCAAGAAATTAGACATCAAAATGCCCAACAGTCCAATTAAGAAATGGGCTATAGAACTAAACAGAGAATTCTCAACAGAGGAAACTCAAATGGCTGAAAGACATTTAAGGAATTGCTCATCATCCCTAATCATCAGGGAAATGCAAATCAAAACAACTCTGAGATACCACCTTACGCCTGTCAGAATGGCTAAGATCAAAAACACTGAAGACACCTTATGCTGGAGAGGATGTGGAGCTAGGGGAACTCTCCTCCACTGCTGGTGGGAATGCAAGCTTGTACAACCACTTTGGAAATCAATATGGCGCTTTCTTAGAAAATTGGGAATCAATCTCCCCCAATATCCAGCTATACCACTCTTGGGCATATACCCAAGAAATGCTCAACCACACCATAAGAGCACTTGTTCAGCTATGTTCATATCAGCATTGTTTGTAATAGCCAGAACATGGAAACAACCCAGATGCCCTTCAACTGAAGAATGGATAAACAAAATGTGGTACATATACACAATGGAATACTACTCAGCAGAAAAAAACAATGGCATCATGAGGTTTGCAGACAAATGGATGGATCTAGAAAAAATCATCCTGAGTGAGGTAACCCAGACTCAGAAAGACAAACATGGTATGTACTCACTCATAGCAGGATACTAGACATGAAACAAGGATGACTTGTCTGCTACTCACATCACCAGGGAGGCTACCCGGAAAACAGGACCCCAAGAAAGACACAGGGATCGCCCAATGACAGAGAAATGGAATGAGATCTACATGAACAGCCTGGACATGAGTGGGGGTAATGAAAGGCGAGGGTCGAGGGAAAGAGAGCTTGGGGGAGCGGGAGATCCCAGCTGGATCAACAACAGAGAGGGAGAACAAGGAATAGGAGACCATGGTAAATGAAGACCACATGAGAACAGGAAGAAGCAAAGTGCTAGAGAGGCCCACAGAAATCCACAAAGATACCCACACAACAGACTGCCGACAATGGTCGAGAGACAGCCCGAACTGACCTACTCTGGTGATGGGATGGCCAAACACCCTAATTGTTGTGCTAGAAACCTCATCCAACTACTGAGGGATCTGGATGCAGAGATCCATGACGAGGCACTGGGTGGATCTCTAGGAGTCCAATTAGTGAGAATGAGGAGGGTTTATATGAGCGAGAATTGTTGAGACCAAGGTTGGATAAAGCACAGGGACAAATAGCCAAACGAATGGAAACACATGAACTATGAACCAATGGCTGAGGGGTCCACACTGGATCAGGCCCTCCGAATGGGTGAGACAGTTGATTGGCTTGATCTGTTTGGGAGGCATCCAGGCAGTGGGACCAGATCTTGTGCTCATTGCATGAGTTGGCTGTTTGAAACCTGGGGCCTATGCAGGATTGTTTGGCTTGGCCTGGGAGGAGGGGACTAGACCTACCTGGACTGAGTCTACCAGGTTGACCTCAGTCTGTGGGGAAGGCTTTGCCCTGGAGGAGATGGGAATGGGGGGGGGCGTTGGGGGGAAGGTGAGGGGGACGGGAGGGGGGAGAACAAGGGAATCCGTGACCGATATGTAGAACTGAATTGTATTGCAAAATAAATTAAAATAAATTAAAAAAAAATTGTTATTCTTCTGCTTAATGAAAATAGCATTAAACTAATGCTATGTTGCTATACCCATAGATTTGAGCATCACTCATCCTTTACTAGATAAGCTTAATATGGAGATTATGGAGAACTATGCTCAACCTGTAGATAAAGATTCCTTTATCTTAATCCTTGCATCAGGTTTCAGGTACCTATGAACAAATGGATGCAGAGGGAACATAAAGGCAAAAAAAATGGTAAATGACTCCTGGGAAGAAGTTTACAAATATAGGAACAAGGGCCATACAATCACCAAGTTTGTGAAAGCCGAAGACATTTGAAATCTCAGCTTGTGAAATGGAAAGTAGGCCCAAAGTCACAACTCCTTGACAAGAACTTGTTTGCAGTCCCTGGCTTCCAGGGTTAGAAAATCTGTTTTTCAATTGAGTAACACCAGGGTATATCAATAATTTTCAAAGTCTTGTGTTCAGAAACAGTTGGCCAACCCAAATCTTCCTTGATTTTTTATTAATTTTCTGTTCTTTCTTTGAGAGAGGGAATGAGAAAAGATGTGGAATCATCACATTGGGATAGTGTGGTAAGGGGTAATATGCAAGAAGATAAATGAAAGAAAAATATATTAATCCAGAAGTATTCTAAAAATGTTAAAAAAGTAAAGGAAAAACCTGAATCAATGACATACAGGAGAAAAATTCAGACATTTACAGGAATACAAAATAAAGTGCCACAGACATTGTCAAATTGCTATTGGTATACTAAATTTCATCTAATCACTCTTGTGATGAAATGAGGAAAAATCATGCAAAATTTTCTCTGTGCTAGATCCTAGGGTACTATTCTAAATGAAATTCTCAGACATCACTTCTAGTAAGGAGCTGGGCTAATCTCACTGCAGTTGTGGTTTGTTTCTTGTTTTGTACTCTACACATAAACCTTTGCTTCCTTCCAACTTACCTGGTTCTCTACACTCTGCTATTTCTAAGTTCATGATCCAGGGTTCGTTGTTTTGTTCAAGCCTGGTGACTAGCTCTGGTTTTGATACAGAAAGGCCTGTGAATTAGAAGAGGCATATGACAATTTAGGTACATGATATGGAAAAGAGGTGAGTTCTAACACAGTGGATATGAAGGTACGCAAGGAAAGACTCAGAAATGAAGTCTTATTAGTCCATACTTGACAGGTGTTGTAGAGTTTTAAGAAATCCATAATATTAATTGTGTATACATTCAACTCTATATACATTATGACATTCCAAAAGTAAAACTATGGGAATCAGACTGTATTCACACATTATTGCAAATGAGTGACTGAAAAAAAAAACATGTGATTTAAGGGAGTATTTGTTAAATTAAAAGACCACATAGAATAAGAAAATTTTCAATAAATATCATACTCATCAATATCTAGTAATAATTGAGAGCTCAGATTCATTGATAGAAAACAATTCAAGTACTAATACAAGTACTAGATATTCATAGGGCTAAGCAGCAATTTTGAAATAATTTACTCTCACCTACAGAAACCAGGTTGCTGTAGTTCTCCAACATGACCTCTCTGTATAAATTCCTCTGAGATGTGTCCAGGCATTCCCATTCCTCCTTGCAGAAATAGATAGCCACATTCTTGAATGCCAATGGACTCTGAAGTGAAAATTCAATTTTGCTTTGTTATGATGGTTTGAATCCTTATTTGCCACAGGAAAGAGCATTTAACTAAAGAATTCTCTGTGTTATCAGAAATCTGCAATTTTAAAATGTTATATATTAAGAGGGAGGACATTGTGACTTTTTCATGAAATCAAAGTACCCAACATCCAAACATTTCATGAAATATGCACCTTTTCTCAGTGATAAATAATGTCGGAAGTTAAGCTCAGTAGGAATTTTGTTTCAATAGTCAATTCTAATATCAGAAAATTTGTAAATATTTCAGGTCATTAATTGATGTAGATAGATCTTATTGGAAAATAAAAGAGGCAGGAAAGAGTGGAAAGCAGAATGTAGAACAGAAATGACAATGATAATAAAGAATTTATATTAGAAATATAATAAAACACAAAATCATAGTTTTCCTTTAGTGAGGAATTATAGTGAAGGTTGAGAGCTCTGCAAATGAAGCATTTATGTGTGGAATGTCAAACCATCCCATCCTTGTGCATGAATTTACCTGAGAACATGCCACCTGTCCTTCTCCTTTTTAATGGATCCTGTCAGGAAGTTTATCTTAAAGTTTCACATTTCTGATACTATTCTGTGTGAAAGGCTGCAGCACCTGCATTCTACACTCAGAGATCAGAAAGCAGGTTAAAATATTTGCAATTGGAGACTTGCGCCACAGCAGAGATGCAGAAACCATGAATATTTACAGACAGACCAAAGCACAGCTTTGTCTTTTCTGCCTTGAGAGGGTCCTTTACTCCTTCAGATCATGAAAATCTATACCACATGGGTATGTGGTGTCAGTACCCTGCTTAAAATTGATTCTGAACACAGCTGTGCAGAGTTGTAGAGACCCCCTTCCTCACATTCCATTTTCCTGAGATCATTAATTAAAACGTAACTGACACCTGTATTGGAAACAGTGGATAAATCTGAGGGATAGCCTCAACTGAAAGTATTTCTCACCCTGGGTAAGTAATATACTTGCTTGCAACCAAGGCAGAGTAAAAAAAAAATCATACCTCAACAGTGGCTCCAATGAGGCATTCCCTTTTTCCATGTTTCTTTCTAAAATTCAATTATTTTACTGTATTTCAGTGAGATAAATGATTAGATTCTCTCTTAAGTTTATTTTAAACTGTGAAAAAGCTTCTTTTGGATTCACTTGCAAAAGTTGTATCTAAATAATGTCATCCCTGCACTCAATTTAGTACTTTTGGTTGTTAATAAAGACACTTCAACTCCAATCACATAAAATATCCTTTTTGTGACTTTTTGATTGTTTGTGAAATCCACAGGAATATAAGTACCTACAAGTTCTCCATTTGTTCATTTGTTGAAAAAAATGTACTATATAACCATGGGATGTAATGTTGCATCTACTCCCAGGGGATTGATTGTTAGCAGGTGTCATCCCAACACAAGGGCATTGCAAGTTCACTGTAATGTTAGTAGCTAGCAAAGGAAAATGATAGAATAGACTCTTTGAATCCAGTCACAAATCAGAAAATAAAAAGATGGAAAATTGCCTGATACGATAATTTCATACCACCTTATGACTGACAAATTCCATTTGGAAGTGTGTATTCCATTTAAATATTTTCATCTTAGTATATAACACAGTATGTCTTTCATAGAAATACTACTTTAAACATTATACATTGAAGGAAGTCATGTCATCCTTTTTCACAGTGCCTCCTTCTTGGAAAAGTCTATATTGAGCAAATGGATGCCTGGGCAATATGATTGTGGAACATGGCTTCTTTCTCATTCATGTGAAATGTCCATTCTCAGTAGGACATATGTATGCATGTTCTTTTTGTCTACCAAAAGGTTACATTATGCATTAACTCAGAGAATTTATGCTAAAAATAAAATGGTGAGAAAACAGTGGAAAGCAGCAAACATGGGGCATGCATTCAAAAGACTTTAACTTGACAACCACTTCAGAAAAAGAAAAATAATGGTTTGTAGAAACTGAGAGGTAATGTAAAGGTTTGAGATCACAGCGAAAGAAGCATTTGTAGGAGAACAGTCAATATGTCTCACATGCACTCCATTCACACATTTACCTGAGAAAAAGTCATCTCTTTTCCCCTTCTGTGTAGATCCTCTCAAGAAACTTTATCTCAAAATTTTACCTTTCTGATAATATTTTGATTTCAAAGCAGGAAAAGCCACATATACTTTCTACCACACTTAAGACACTGGAAGGCAGGATCAAAAAGCTCCCTCTGTGTACTATAACAGAGCAGAGATGTAGAACAACATGAACTCCCAGAGGCAGAGAAAATGGTAGGTTCTACTTTCATGCATTAGATAGGTAGGCTGTTTAGCCAGCATGAAAGACTTTAGTACAGACTTGGCAGCATGATTCAATTGACTTGGTAGAGCTACCAGAGCCAGGTTGGTATTTCAAGTTAAGGCTAAGCACAGCTGACATGGAGAATCATTAAGGATCCTCACATTCTCTTTCTCTGGGGTGGTTGATTAAAGCAAAATGAGGCTTCCATGGAGGATAACAAACATTATCTGTGATGTAGTCCCACATGAAAGTAATTATTCAACTGGGTAAAAAAATCTAGTTGTTTATGTCCAAGCAGCATGAAGGCAATACATTCCCCTCTAAAGTCTCCACTGACTTTTCCCATTGGTTATCATGATGCAATTTATAATATTATGGTTCTGCAACTTTGCAGTGAGAGCCATTATTAAATTTTTTCACAAATTTATTTTCATAAGGACATTACTTCACCCAGGAACACTGTTAAGTAATTATCGGTGAAAATGAGGAGATGGGCACTGGTGGTACATGGCTTTAATCCCAGCATGTGGGAGGCAGAGCCTGGTGTATCCCTATGTGTTTGAGGCCAGCCTGGTCTACAAACTGAGTTCCAGGACTGGGTCCAAAAGCAACACAAAGAAAGCCTCTATTGAAAAATCAAGAAAAGGAAGGAAGGAAGGAAGGAAGGAAGGAAGGAAGGAAGGAAGGAATGAAGGAAGGGAGGGAGGGAGGAAGGAAGGAAGGGAGGGAAGAAGGGAGGAAGGGAGGAAGAAAAAGGGAAAAAAGAAAGAAAAATGAGGAGAACCGGGTTGAATTCCTTAGACTATATGAGCTCCAAAGAACACTCTAATACCTTAAGATATTAGTAAAAAACACTGAATCCCATCCTTTATCTTCATTGTTTTTGTTGGCAATTTATCAGATATCGATGGTTACACTAAGAGGAATTCATGGAACACTCCCTGGAAGTGACATTGACCACATAGAAATCTGCACACATACTCAGTTTATCTTTGTTTTCTACATGAATTACATTGTAATTACTCAGACTCTATTAATATTTGGAATTAACTAGACAAAATTTTATTTATTTTTTGTCTTTTTCTGGCACTAAGGTAAGGTATTTACTAGAATCCGGGCTGTATAACATGCATGTCTTTGTGCAGAAATGAAGAATGCACAGGAACTCCATGGTGTTGCTTAAATTTCCATATTCATTTTTCACTTCCTACAGAGTATGCTTTTTTTTTTCAATGGGATTCTAATGAACACTAGTTCCTCTCATTAAAAGGAAAGTCAAATTTTCAAAAGATCTAAACAGGGTTAAAGAGAAACTACTCCTAAACTGAAGAAGATGCAATCACCTTGTTTGGGTATAGAATTCTGAAGCATAACAACTTCCTTCACAAATGATTAAACCTCTCACCACATTCAAGATGTGTATATCAAGATTCTGCACAAAGAAAACAGACAGGAACCCAGAGAAGGAGGAATGAAAAAAATGGGGGTAAAATTAAATGTAACCAGTTTAGAGAAATAGAAGCATGTTTATAACAAATACCAGCCATGTGCTTCTCCTTACTCACAGCAACATGACAAATTACAACTATGTTAATTTGCCTGTATTTTCCAGGAAATTTATTTGGTAACTGCATACAATCTATTGGCATCCTACAAGACAAATCTGGTATCTGAATTGCATGGTTATTAGTTGACTGGTATTATCTAGTCTCTAACTCTACTGTATCAATTCCACACATGCAGAAGGCTCATGAGACTCATTGAGATTAGGTGAGGAATCTGCCTGGGCAGTGGAAAGATACCTTCTTTATTGAGGCTTCTACCACGAGGTTCTATACCATTGATTTTTTTTATTTTTTTTTCAATTTAGATTTATTTATTTATTATGTATACTTTATTCTGCCTGCATGTGTCCCTGCAGTCCAGAAAAGGGCACCAGATCTCATTACAGGTGATTGTAAGCAACCATGTGGTTGCTGAGAATTGAACTCAGGAACTCTGGGAGAGCAGTCGGTGCTCTTAAACACTGAGGCATCGATCCAGCCCCACTAATGATTTTTAATTTTAAATTAAGGAAAATTTATATCTCGCACAAATTTAATAGATGTGTTGTCCTGAAACAGACACATTTCTATTCATGGACATAAGGCAGAGAAACACTCTGAGAGCATATGCTCCACTAGGCTTGAACTAAATGCTGCCTCTTTTCTCCTAATAAAATGGGATCTGCACCTTTTTCTTTTTTTTTCTCTGTGTAGCTTTGTGCCTTTCCTGGAACTCACTTGGTAGCCCAGGCTGGCCTCGAACTCACAGAGATCCGCCTGGCTCTGTCTCCCGAGTGCTGGGATTAAAGGCGTGCGCCACCACCGCCTGACTTGCACCTTTTTCAAACTGCAGTTAGAAGTCACTTGTAAGACAGGAATAATCTGTTTGTCATAAATCTTTCCTCCATTTTTCCTTTAAGTTTCTCTTTATTGTTGACTCCAATTATTACTACAACATTCAGAAAAAAAGTCATCTGAACTAGTTTGTGGCACATTGGAAATGAAAAGTACTCTGTATTTTCCTTGAAATTTCAATAAAAAGAAATAATTTGCCTCCATGCCTTCACATAAATAAGTTTGCATATGATTACAATCAGACACATGATAAAGCACATATGCAGTGAGGAGAGTCTTACATTGTTCAAACCTTTACTTCAGCATAGAGACCTTCCAGTTCCTTGCACCATAGTATTCAACTACTCCACTTAATTGACACAATTAAGGGAAGAACCAGTATTGTTGACATAACTTGTTCCATAATTGCACTTCTTCTTAACATGTGACAAAATCACTTGTTAAACAAAACCAACATTTTCTAAAGTCAGAGCTAATTCTCTTAACACTGTGGCAAGGAGCTACAGCACAGAAGCACACACACACACACACACACACACACACACACACACACACCACTAAAACAAGTCTACACACAACATTAATAAAACAGAAGCCCCTTACCCTATTCTATACTCTTGAATTATTGAACTTAAGGAGCCCACTGCTTTCCCGCAAAGGTATGATCTGTAGTATCTATTGTCAAGGTGAAAAAATCCTCCATTTTGTCTTCTCTGTGTGATTCAGGTTTTTGAATATGACTTCCTGAATCCAGATCATACCCAATTCACAATGTGACCATGAGAAACAGAGAAAACAGAATAAGTTATGAGAAGTCAGTAGATTTTGGATGTGTTTCACACACTCTCCTGTCATGATCAGTGAAGAAGTCTACTAATTCTCACAAGATCCATACTTTCTTTTGTTTT